TTTTTTTTTTTTTTTTGTAGTGAGAACATTTAAAATAAACTCTTAGCAACTTTCAAACATATACTATAGTATTAACTATATTCACCATGCTGTACATAAGATCCCTGGACTTTATTCATCTCATAACTGGAAGTTGATATCCTTTGACCTCTATTCCTCTGCCCCTAGCAACCACCAATCTATTTTGTATGAATTCAGTTATTTTAGATTCCACATATAAGTGAGATAGTATATTTGTCTTTCTCTATCTGATTTTATTTAGCATAATGCCCTCAGGGTCCACCTATACTATTGCAAATATCTGGATTTCCTTCTTTTTTATGGCCAAACAATATTGCTGTGTGTGTGAATAATAATCCTGTGTCTCTGTGTCATATTTTCTTTATCAATTCATGCATTCATGGACACTTCATTCATGGACAATGCTGCAATGAACAGGAAGGTGCAAATACCTCTTTGAGGTATGATTTCTTTTCCTGATACCTAGAAGTGAGACTGCTGGATCATATGGTAGTCCTATTTTTAATATTTTCAGGAACCTCCATACTGTTTTCCACAGTGGCTGCACCAACTTCGATTCCCACCAACAGTAAACAAGGGCTCCCTTTTCTCCACACTTTGGCCAACACTTCTCTCTTTTGTTTTTGATAACAGCCATTCTAACAGTGTGAGGTGATCTCTCCTTGTGGTTTTGATTTGTACTTCCCTGATGGTTAGTGATGTTGAGCACCTTTTTATGTACCTGTTGGCCTTTAGAAAATTAGTAAACCTTGAGAAAAATACCTGTTCAGGTCCTTTGCCCATTTTTTAAAAATTAAGATAAATGACCTAAATAAAACATGTTTGTTTCAGGTATATAATGATTCAATATTAGTAAATATTATGAAATGATCATCACAGTAAGGTCAGTTAACATCCATTACCACATACACTTAAAATTTTTTTCCTTGTGATGAGAAATTTTAAGACCTTCTTAACAAATTTCAAATATGCAATACAGTATTCTTGAATTTTTAAAAATGTTTTAATGTTTATTTATCTTGGAGAGAAAGAGACTGTGCATGAACAGAGGAGGGGCAGAGAGAGTGGGAGACGCAGAATCCGAAGCAGGCTCCAGGCTCTGAGCTGTCAGCACAGAGCCCGATGTGGGGCTCGAACCCATGAACCTTGAGACGATGACCTGAGCCAAAGTCGGCTGCTTAACCTACTGAGCCACCCAGGCACCCCTAATAATTATGCAATACAGTATTATTAACTATAGTCCCCATGCTGTGCATTGTATACCCAGAATTTGTTTTATAACTGGAAGTTTGTACTTTTTGACTACCTTCTCACATTCCATGCCCCCTCTAACTTTCCTCCACCCCGGCTCTGTTAACCACTGTTCTGTTCTGTGTCTATGAATTCAGAGTTCTTCTGGTTTTGTTTTTCTTGTTGTGTTGTGTTGTGTTTTTTATTTTTTTTTTT